CAAATTATGACAAGTAACAGTTTAAAACTGAGGTTTGTGTAGTCCCACATACATCTTTCTGTGTACAGTGCTTGTTACTTTACCAAGACTTGGCCAAATTTCTTATCATTTTGATGACTCCAGAACCTTGCAGTACACACCAATACCAATACACACCAATATGCTATGTGATCAACGTTTTTTTTATCGATTCCACACCGTTTCTTTCGCGATGCAATCGCCTGACCAGAACTCAAATTTATGATCTTTAATGAAGAAAGTGTGTTTAGATACTTATTCTAGCCTAATGAATTAATGCTGCAATTACCCTTGATACAGTATGTTCGATTGTTGATAATTAATTACCCTCTTTTAATTAAAGTCTTAATTGTATTCTCTTTAAGTAATCCACTTTAATAAGCTATTTGAGAGTTGACTGGCAGCCAATAATGCATTACATTACTACTTGTTCTGCATGTAAATATAGCATCAGGAATGAAAGCAAAATCAGTAATGTATTTTTTGTTGAAATCAGGAGTATAATGTCACTTACATGCAGTGGAAAATGTTAGTTAATTGCATGCCTTCCTTCCTTGTTTTTCTTGAATTCATAATTAGTCATTTAATTTTGATCTCGTTTAGAAATCTTTTCTGCTACAGACCACCCAGATTTACTGACAGTAGTAGGCCTAATGTAAAGTTAATGAATTTGCCAAGTTAAAAGAAATTTTGTGATAATTTGAACATACATGGCAAAACAATTTGCTGAATTTTGATTTGAAACGGATTATTCTCTCTTTTATTACATGTGACTATGTTTTCATTATTTATCTTTTTGTGTGTGTGTACAGTATTATCAATATGAATTTCCAGAGGGAGTCGATATGGTAATGGTGAGAGCCAAGTCCCCGGATAAAGCATGTGCCTATCTTTCAGTACAGAATGCAAAGGTGAGTATGCTTGTTGAATTACCTACCCCCTTCAACTGGTAAAAGTAATTACATAATGAACCACCTTGTCTTGTTTCTTTCATCATCCCTCCATCCCTCCGTCTCATTTGTCCATTTTCCCTATTTTGATCAATATTGAAATCCCTTTCTCCTCGTTTCTTTGCCTCAACATTATCGTTTTTCTCTGCCCCATCCCTCCTCTTTCTCTTCCTTTCTTGACTCCCCCTCCCTCTCATTTCTTAATCTACTTATTGGTCTCCAATTAATTTGATGTGAAAAAAGGGATCTTGTATTTTATTTATTTATTTATTTATTTATTTCACTTCTTTATTCAGGGTAGTCTGTTCAGTATACGAAAATAAAAACCTGGTCTTCCACAGAGCCCTGATTATAAAAACAGCACATGAAAAAATACATGAATTACAATTAGAACTGTACAATATCAGATTATTAAACATTTAACACAATGTATGCATGGTTTAGATAATAATAAAAATCAACTACAAAATAAGTTAAACAAAAACATGGGAATATAAGTAATATACTGAGTATAAGATTACACAAAAGAAAAACAGTTCATTAATGATAATTGTAGGCATTGTATGGTAATGGAGTCAAGTAACATGACTGAACAAATTCATTTATTAATAAATTTAGTTATGTATGTATGTATGTTTTTATTATTTATTTAATATGTGGTATTATATGAACAGGGTAGCCCTGTTAGTAGTTATACTTGGGGGCCCCACATAACGAAAACAACACAAAAGACATACATGTACATGTACATATTAAATACATAATGGTGAAATAAAAATCAGAATGTTTTTTCCAGGAAATTAAAAAAAATGAACAAGAAATTATATCAATTCTGGAAGTCATATCCCTCTGATTGTGGCATGTGTAGTTTGTGAGTCTTCAAGAATGATTTTATCAGATGGATTTCATGTCCAATTTAATTTGCACAAAAAAAAATTCAGGAGGCTGATTTATAGGTGAAGTCTATGGGACTGGCCTTTAAAAACTGATACTGTTGTTCACAGGGATAAAACACCCCTCCTATTTATATCAATTATTAATTTATGATTAAAGGTAATACAAAGTTTTGGGAAATTTTGAAAATTGGGTGGAGAGTGATTCTTTACAATTTTCATATATTTGGATGCCCCTGTGGATGTAGTATAAGCACTATAAAATTTAGCCCCTAAAACACTTTTGCTTTCGAGAAAAATGGAATAGAAAAATTTACCGGTGCTCCCAGTAAATTTTGATAAATTTCAAATAGCGCCTATGGCCGTACAATGGTAGCTGCGACCATGAAAATCTCAGAAAATGTAATTGTGATATATAATTTCCAAACGGGAGTAGCTAATTGGTCGATTTTAGCCAAGAAACATTGTTTTATAGCTTAATTAAAATCTTGACCTTGAGAGGGAGCTACACAACATAAAGAGTTTATTATTTACAATTTCATAACTTTAGACTCGATTTCAACCGCGACAACGATCAGTGTAGGATTGCAATTGCTTCCAATATGTTCATTTGAACCAACTTCATGACCCTATACCAAAACTTTGTATTACCTTGAACTTTTATTTCATGTACTTGTGCTTTTCATTGAAACTACAAATCATTTTTAAAGCTATAAATGATGAATTTTTCTACAGCTTTGGCTTTTGGCAGCTTGCTAAGAAATTATCTTATTTTACTGATTCTGATGATTTTGCTTTTTATTACATTTGGCATCAAATATCCTCCACATTCCAACTTCGCTGAGTTTTTGTTTCTCTTGTAGGGAAGAGAAATCTTCTTCCATTTGTCAATTCTTAATCATCATAATCGCAACTTGCGCAGCTCCCGAGATACTTTGTTGCTGCAGATCCCATCTATCCAAACAAAAATAACGCTAGGTGATCGAGCATTTGCTTGTGCAGTCCCGAACCTCTGGAATAACTTGCCATTTGAAGTCTGGAAATCACCATCTGTGAATATCTTTAAATCATACCGTAATTGAAAGCTCATCTTTTCAATTAACTGTAAATTTAAGCATATCAGGAGCTCTTGTAGCACAGTAGATTTATTATTATTATTATTATATTATTAATTCTGCCTGAGATCTGCCTCTTTTCTGCTGACAAATGTTAAAAAGAAACATGAAATATTTTTTGAGAGATTAATTGACAATTTTCTCTCAGTGTCCAATCTTAGATGGTGTTTCCACCGTGCGCTACAACGAGGGATTTTTTCAGACGATGACTAAACAGGCAGCAATTACAGTTACGGTAAGTCTAGAACATTTATTTATTTATTTTATTTATTTCTGATATTTATACAGGGTGGCACATATCACCTATTTGGTGGTCTTCCATGAGGCCCTGTTAAGAATAAAACAAATAACAGCAGCAAAAACAAAATAGATAAATAAACAAGCATATTAAAAGGTAAAATACACATTAATTGGTATCCCCATGAAATAACTGATCATTCAAGAATTATCCTTGATCATTTACAAGAAATATGTGAAAAGAATTTTCAATTTAAGTGGAAAATACATTAAAAAAAAATGAAAATGAAATAAAGAATAGATGATAACCACATATTTAAAAGGATGACAGAATGATTGAAAACATATATTTGTTATAATCTGATATACATTATACATGTAGCTTAACACACTGGATACCAAAATAGTTATATACATACTTACATTCAATTGCTTTTCATTAATACACTTAGATCATTCCCAATATTTAACATTTACATGTTATTGTGCAATCTACTTTCAGTGTCCTTTGACTTGAAAACCAATTGTTCTCTCTTGTACATTGGCTTGTATATTAATAGAGCACTGTGATAATAATAATAATAATAATAATAATATTCCGCTTTTATATAGCGCCCAATACATCTATACAACGATGTGCCTAAGTGCTTTACATATGTATTAGTACCCCGGTCATCGGATTCAGGCTTACCCGCACACAATGTATGCACATTTTCCACTCCCTGGGGAGCATTCCAGCCAGTCGCCATTTTACAAACGCACATTTGCTCATCCAACCACATGAACTTTCGCATCCTACCGGGTACCCATTTAACACCTGGGTGAAGAGTGGCAACTGTAGATCAATGTCTTGCCAAAGGACATCAGTGCCGTGGTAGGACTTGAACCGCGGACCTTGTGATCCACGGTCCGGTGACATATCCACTCGTCCATGAAGTATATCAAAGTGATAAAGTTTGAGCACACATGTACATACTTTACATAAGCAATTTCATTTTTATTATTCCGTTTGTTATTAATTCTTGTCTCCATTTCTTTTCCTTTTGACAGAGGGACATGTTTAATGGATCTGACCTTTTCTTTGTTGTGGTGGTTGTGCATTCGACCAATGCAATGTGCGACAATACCTTCAAGACATTGTCACCTCTCGAAGGTAAGGGATCCTTACTTTCAATGCTGGGTTCAAATTGGCAACATTACGTGTACCGGTATATCTCATCATGTCCTTATGACTGATGGCGCATCTTATTTATTCCAGTAATTATGTTGTGATTCTTTTTATGATTCTTTTGAAAATAGTTGATACATATTAGGTTTTTGTTGATTTGAGGGATACAGGAATTGAACGGTTTTATATTCTTTTATTGTATTTCCTTCGTGCTTTGTGTTTCCAATCTCTCATAGTGCATTCGCATTTCTATCAGATTATGAATGAGAAACTCGGTGGGGTTATAATGGTCTAAGATTTGCCGAAAATCTCATATATTTGAACTAACAGAAAGGAAAAAGAAGAAAAATCAGTTGGAAATAATGTGTTTTCTTTATTAATGCACATAGCAAAAGAAGTACATAAATTTACCTAATAATGAACATGAGCTGTATTCTGCATTATCAATACTTTTACAGTCTTACGTGTAGTTATGCATGATGTATTTACAATTTTTGATTGTATGCTTTCAGCAGCTCATTATACAGGCTCATCCAAACAGACAAAGAATGTTACACTGACAGTGGAACGCACACTAGACAGTAAGTTCTAAATTTACATATACACCTGTAGTTTCCCCACAATGAATGTACATACATGCCATTAGATGGATCCTGACCCCCACATCCCTTTGAAAGGGGCGTAGGGGCAAATATTGAAAAATTTGAGTTATCACAACTTTCGGGCCGAAATTGTAAAGGCCGGGGTGGTTCAGCATTTTGGAGGAAAAAATTATATTTTTTGAATAGGCTCGTTTCCCCACAATGAATGTACATACATGCCATTAGATGGATCCTGACCCCCATATCCCTTTGAATGGGGCGTAGTGGTAAATATTGTAAAAATTTGAATTATCACACCTTTCGGGCCGAAATTGTAAGGGCCGGGGTGGTTCAGCATTTTGGAGGAAAAAATTATATTTTTTGAATAGGCTAGTTTCCCCACAATGAATGTACATACATGCCATTAGATGGATCCTGACCCCCATATCCCTTTGAAAGTGGCGTAGGGGCAAATATTGTAAAAATTTGAATTATCACAACTTTTCGGGCCAAAGTTGTAAGGGCCGGGGTGGTTCAGCATTTTGGAGGAAAAAATTATATTTTTTGAATAGGCTCGTTTCCCCACAATGAATGTACATACATGCCATTAGATGGATCCTGACCCGCACATCCCTTTGAAAGGGGCGTAGTGGCAAATATTGTAAAAATTTGAATTATCACACCTTTCGGGCCGAAATGGTAAAGGCCGGGGTGGTTCAGCATTTTGGAGGAAAATATCATATTTTTTGAATAGGCTACTTTCCCCACAGTGAATGTACATACATGCGATTAGATGGATCCTGACCCCCATATCCCTTTGAAAGTGGCGTAGGGGCAAATATTGTAAAAATTTGAATTATCACAACTTTTCGGGCCGAAGTTGTAAGGGCCGGGGTGGTTCAGCATTTTGGAGGAAAATATTAATTTTTTTTAGTACCTGTAGGCTAGTTTCCCCATAATGAATGTATATACATGCGATTAGATGGATCCTGACCCCTATATCCCTTTAAATGGGGTGTAGTGGTAAATATTGTAAAAATTTGAATTATCACACCTTTCGGGCCGAAATTGTAAGGGCCAGGGTAGTTCAGCATTTTGGAGGAAAAAATTATTTTTTTTAAATTGGCTAGTTTCCCCACAATGAATGTACATACATGCCATTAGATGGATCCTGACCCCCATATCCCTTTAAATGGGGCGTAGTGGTAAATATTGTAAAAATTTGAATTATCACACCTTTCGGGCCGAAATTGTAAGGGCCGGGGTGGTTCAGCATTTTGGAGGAAAATATTTTTTTTTTTTAATAGGCTAGTTTCCCCACAGTGAATGTACATACATGCGATTAGATCGATCCTGACCCCCATATCCCTTTGAAAGTGGCTTAGGGGCAAATATTGTAAAAATTTGAATTATCACAACTTTTCGGGCCGAAGTTGTAAGGGCCGGGGTGGTTCAGCATTTTGGAGGAAATTTTTTTTGTTTTTTAATTGGCTAGTTTCCCCATAACAAATGTATATACATGCGATTAGATGGATCCTGAACCCTATATCCCTTTGAAAGGGGCGTAGGGGCAAATATTGTAAAAATTTGAATTATCACAACTTTCGGGCCGAAATTGTAAGGGCCGGGGTGGTTCAGCATTTTGGAGGAAAATATTATATTTTTTGATTAGGCTAGTTTCCCCACAATGAATGTACATACATGCAATTAGATGGATTCTAACGCCTATATCCCTTTGAATGGGGCGTAGTGGTAAATATTGTAAAAATTTGAATTATCACACCTTTCGGGCCGAAATGGTAAGGGCCGGGGTGATTCTGCATTTTGGAGGAAAATTTTTTTTTATGAATAGGCTAGTTTCCCCACAGTGAATATACATACATGCGATTAGATGGATCCTGACCCCCATATCCCTTTGAAAGGGGCGTAGGGGCAAATATTGTAAAAATTTGAATTATCACAACTTTCGGGCCTAAATTGTAAGGGCCGGGGTGGTTCAGCATTTTGGAGGAAAATATTATATTTTTTGATTAGGCTAGTTTCCCCACAATGAATAAGGATATTCTTAAACTCACTTCAAGTGATCTATATGTGATGGAGTTAATGCAATTGAGATTAGAATATACTTTTTTTTGGTGGACAGTTGCTAAAATCGATTTTGATTGATCATTATTGATTTACCAATGCAATTAGATGGATCCTGACCCCCATATCCCTTTGAATGGGGCGTAGTGGTAAATATTGTAAAAATTTGAATAATCACAACTTTCGGGCCAAAATGGTAAGCGCCGGGGTGGTTCAGCATTTTGGAGGAAATTTTTTTTTTTTAATTGGCTAGTTTCCCCATAATGAATGTATATACATGTACATGCGATTAGATGGATCCTGACCCCCATATCCCTTTGAAAGTGGCTTAGGGGCAAATATTGTAAAAATTTGAATTATCACAACTTTTCGGGCCGAAGTTGTAAGGGCCGGGGTGGTTCAGCATTTTGGAGGAAATTTTTTTTGTTTTTTAATTGGCTAGTTTCCCCATAATAAATGTATATACATGCGATTAGATGGATCCTGACCCCCATATCCCTTTGAAAGTGGCGTAGTGGTAAATATTGTAAAAATTTGAATTATCACAACTTTTCGGGCCGAAGTTGTAAGGGCCGGGGTGGTTCAGCATTTTGGAGGAAATTTTTTTTGTTTTTTAATTGGCTAGTTTCCCCATAATAAATGTATATACATGCGATTAGATGGATCCTGAACCCTATATCCCTTTGAATGGGGCGTAGTGGTAAATATTGTAAAAATTTGAATTATCACACCTTTCGGGCCGAAATGGTAAGGGCCGGGGTGATTCTGCATTTTGGAGGAAAATATTTTTTTTATTAGGCTAATTTCCCCACAATGAATGTACATACATGCCATTAGATGGATCCTGACCCCCATATCCCTTTAAATGGGGCGTAGTGGTAAATATTGTAAAAATTTGAATTATCACACCTTTCGGGCCGAAATTGTAAGGGCCGGGGTGGTTCAGCATTTTGGAGGAAAATATTATTTTTTTTGAATAGGCTAGTTTCCCCACAGTGAATGTACATACATGCGATTAGATCGATCCTGACCCCCATATCCCTTTGAAAGTGGCTTAGGGGCAAATATTGTAAAAATTTGAATTATCACAACTTTTCGGGCCGAAGTTGTAAGGGCCGGGGTGGTTCAGCATTTTGGAGGAAATTTTTTTTGTTTTTTAATTGGCTAGTTTCCCCATAATAAATGTATATACATGCGATTAGATGGATCCTGAACCCTATATCCCTTTGAAAGGGGCGTAGGGGCAAATATTGTAAAAATTTGAATTATCACAACTTTCGGGCCGAAATTGTAAGGGCCGGGGTGGTTCAGCATTTTGGAGGAAAATATTATATTTTTTGATTAGGCTAGTTTCCCCACAATGAATGTACATACATGCAATTAGATGGATTCTAACGCCTATATCCCTTTGAATGGGGCGTAGTGGTAAATATTGTAAAAATTTGAATTATCACACCTTTCGGGCCGAAATGGTAAGGGCCGGGGTGATTCTGCATTTTGGAGGAAAATTTTTTTTTATGAATAGGCTAGTTTCCCCACAGTGAATATACATACATGCGATTAGATGGATCCTGACCCCCATATCCCTTTGAAAGGGGCGTAGGGGCAAATATTGTAAAAATTTGAATTATCACAACTTTCGGGCCTAAATTGTAAGGGCCGGGGTGGTTCAGCATTTTGGAGGAAAATATTATATTTTTTGATTAGGCTAGTTTCCCCACAATGAATAAGGATATTCTTAAACTCACTTCAAGTGATCTATATGTGATGGAGTTAATGCAATTGAGATTAGAATATACTTTTTTTTGGTGGACAGTTGCTAAAATCGATTTTGATTGATCATTATTGATTTACCAATGCAATTAGATGGATCCTGACCCCCATATCCCTTTGAATGGGGCGTAGTGGTAAATATTGTAAAAATTTGAATAATCACAACTTTCGGGCCAAAATGGTAAGCGCCGGGGTGGTTCAGCATTTTGGAGGAAATTTTTTTTTTTTAAATTGGCTAGTTTCCCCATAATGAATGTATATACATGCGATTAGATGGATCCTGACCCTTATATCCCTTTGAATGGGGCGTAGTGGTAAATATTGTAAAAATTTGAATTATCACACCTTTCGGGCCGAAGTTGTAAGGGCCGGGGTGGTTCAGCATTTTGGAGGAAAAAATTATATTTTTTGAATAGGCTAGTTTCCCCACAATGAATGTAAATGAATGCAATTAGATGGATTCTAACGCCTATATCCCTTTGACAGGGGGGTAGGGGCAAATATTGTAAAAATTTGAATTATCACAACTTTTCGAGCCGAAGTTGTAAGGGCCGGGGTGGTTCAGCATTTTGGAGGAAAATATATATTTTTTTTTATTAGGCTAGTTTCCCCACAATGAATGTACATACATGCCATTAGATGGATCCTGACCCCCACATCCCTTTGAAAGGGGCGTAGGGGCAAATATTGAAAATTTGAGTTATCACAACTTTCGGGCCAAAATGGTAAGGGCCGGGGTGGTTCAGCATTTTGGAGGAAAAATTTTTTTTTTTTAAATTGGCTAGTTTCCCCATAATGAATGTGCATACACGCGATAAGATGGATCCTGACCCCCACATCCCTTTGAAAGGGGCGTAGGGGCAAATATTGTAAAAATTTGAATTATCACAACTTTCGGGCTGAAATTGTAAGGGCCGGGGTGGTTCAGCATTTTGGAGGAAAATATTATATTTTTTGATCAGGCTAGTTTCCCCATAATGAATGTGCATACATGCGATAAGATGGATCCTGACCCCCACATCCCTTTGAAAGGGGCGTAGGGGCAAATATTGTAAAAATTTGAATTATCACACCTTTCGGGCCGAAATGGTAAGGGCCGGGGTGGTTCTGCATTTTTGGAGGAAAATATTATTTTTTTTGAATAGGCTAGTTTCCCCACAGTGAATGTACATACGTGCGA